GTGAAGTTCAAAAGTCATTCGTGACTGGAAGGACTTCCCCAGAGTTACTCAGTGAATGTTAACGTTCTAAGAGTGTGAAGACTACAACACAGAAACTACACATGTAATACACTGCAACTAATCTAGGACTCATGGTTCCAAATCCCTAAGTTATCAGCAGTCTATAGTGAAATGAAAATAAGGACAAGATCACAAGTAAATGCCCAGAGGGCTGCAGTCGAGGCCAGCTCAGGCATAGAGCAAGACCCTATCTGGAAAACAAAAAGAGACTACAAGACTAGTGACATTTTTAAACACACAGGATTGTCCTAATTCTAATTAGTCATGATTCTTAATTTTTTGATACTATCATGAAATGAATATGACAAGAAATGTTTGGGAAAAGGACTTCTAACATTTTTATTTGGTGAAACAAGTTAACGGGCACAGTGGTACAGGCTTGTAGTACTAGCACTTAGGATATGGAGGCAGGAAGACAGGCAGCCTGGGCTACACGGTGAACAAGACCAAGAAAACCCAGTACCAAGGGAACACACACACACACACACACACACACACACACACACACACACACACACACACACACACACACACACACACACACACACACACACACACACACACACACACACACACACACACACACACACACACACACACACACACACCAGGCTCAGATGTGTTGTGGAAGGGCTGACCCCAGTAAGGGGGAGAGTTAACAGTGAGGATGAATTCAGTCAATAAAAACAGAACAATAAGATGGAAGAGGGAGGGGAGAGAGACAAGAGGCAGTGGACTGGGATTCCTTGTATAAAAGTGGGGAAACCTCTTGAAGAAACCCCTCTGGGGAAACTAACTTGTACTACAAGATAAAGGTCTGGAAGGACAAAGAGATGGGGGAGAGAACCCAAGATACAGTCAGGACCTAGAGCCCATCCACCTATGTCCTACCACTGAACTGGGAATCAACTGAAACGCTAGAGAAACGTCACAGTCACACCACGCAGCACTCTGAGCCAGGGACACATCACAGTCATACCACACAGCGTTCTGAGCTGGAGACACGTCACAGTCACACCACGCAGCGCTCTGAGCTGGGGACATATCACAGTCACACCACACAGCGCTCTGAGCCGGGGACATGTCACAGTCACACCATGCAGAGCTCTGAGCCGGGGACATGTCACAGTCACACCTCACAGCGTACTGAGCTGGGAACACATCACAGTCATACCACACAGCATTCTGAGCTGGGAACATGTCACAGTCACTCCGCATGACATTCTGAGCCGGGGACACGTCACAGTTGTACCACATAGTGCTCTGAGCTGGGGACACATCACAGTCACACCACACAGCATTCTAAGCCAGGGACACGTCACAATCACACCATGCAGAGCTCTGAGCCGGGGACATGTCACAGTCACACCACACAGCGTTCTGAGCCGGGAACACGTCACAGTTACCCACACAGAATTCTGAGCTAGGGACAAGTCATAGTTACACCACACAGCGTTCTGAGCTGCAGACATGTCACAGTCCCACCACGCAGCGCTCTGAGCCGGGGACACATCACAGTCACACCCACAGCGTTCTGAGAAAGGCAGAGCTAAATGTGGGCAGTAGAGAAGATCAGTGGTTGCCAGGGATTGGGGAGGGGGTGTAGGTTAGACACAGAGGACTTTTCTTGTAATACAGGGATTTGAACTCAGGGCCTCATGCTGGCTGGATTGGTGTTCTACCACTTGGGCCATGTTTTAACTATTTTTGAAAATATTTTGCCCCAAATGGCTTGAACAATAAATTGCATTTATGCTGGCCAAGGGGCTGAGATAGCAGGCACAAACCAGCAAGTACATCCAGATGAGATGGTGTCTAACATTTGCCAGGTTGGTTTTGAACAGTAATCCTCCCAATCTCCACTTCCCAAGTACCTAGTATTATAGGCATAAGCCACTGCTCTGGAGAAATCATGGATTTTTAGGACAGTGGAATAAACCTGTAAACTATACACATGGGTATGTGTCAGTATCCATTGGCCAAACCCCATAAAACAGACAACAGAAAGAGTAAACACTAGTAGGGCTGCAGGCCAGGCCACGCCAGGCATACAGCAAGACCCTATCTGGAAAACAGAAAAAGGCTACACGACTAGCCAGTAGCCTGGCAAGCACAAGGTCCGAGTTCAATCCTTGGAACCACAAAATTAAAAAGCAAAATACTGACTAATACTCTTGGGTCTCCAATGCCATGCAGAATTAGAACAACATAATGCAGAGCTCTCATTCAAGGGGGGCCATTTAGGTTCTGAATGACCAAATAGTATTTTGGAGTTTCTCATGGAGAGGAGCAAAATGACAGTAAGTATCTAAATAGGTTTGAAATAAACAGAGCTGGGCTCTGTGATATAATGGTTGTTTCACATGCAAAAAAGCCCCATGTTTCAACTGTAGCACTGAAAAGAAGGATTAACAAATTTTGTTGACAATAATTTCAATGAGCTTAAGTTTGAACAAACGAGTTTGATTATACAGTGTATCACGTGTTTAAAATGCAAAATTACAAAAAAGAACCTACACATACTTGGTGGTTTTAGAGTGGAAAGTAATTGCTAAATAATATCTCATGTCTCAATTTAAGACAACATAATCCTATCTTTCAGTATTTGTAAGTTGTCCAGCTCATAATAAACTTCCATCTGTGTGAGTGCTTGGTGAGGGAGTCTTGTCACCATTTCAGCCTCTGCTCCCAGCACTTCTGTTTGTTACATGTCCATACCAGAACATCCTCCAAAGCATTTCATTTCAGCTGAAAATGTTAATTTCACTATCAGATGGTTAAAATGTCTCCATGTTGAGCTAGGCCATTCTCTAATTCCAGGTCTCAAGAGCCTGAAGCAGAAAGACAGTGAGTCAGAGGCCAGCCCCGTTACAAGACCTTGTTTCAAGAAGGAAGCAAAATTTCTGAGTATCACTTGCTCTGGATAATTTGTTTGGTTAAACAAAAATGAAACACAAAATAAATGCATCTCATATAAAATCATTTCAAATCACTGTCTTATGACCAGTGGAGGGTCTTTTCTTCTTTTTCCTTTTCAGTGCTGGGAATCAAATCCAGGGCCTGGACATCTTCAGTAGATTAACACTGAGTTACATCCCATCCCCGGTGAAGCTAGTTTAAAAAGTAAGCCAAATGTCTTTCAATCACATTTACAAGAAGCCAATTTGTATTCAGACCTGAGCCAGACTTATTCGGTTATCACCAGGTAGCTGTTTCAAGAATGTAAAACTGAGATACTATGCTACATGTATGTCAGACTACACTCAGTGCACAAGGATACGCATTTTGTAATCTGAGAACCAGACACATGTTATAAAACAGCAGAAACTATGACACTGAATTCTATATTTTCTACAATACTTAGCTTTTCAATGAATGTGAGATAGCTTCCTTTCCTAGCTATGCTAATCTCTTTGTAAATATGTCAATATTTCCTAACCTCTACAATACAGATCTTCTATTTATATTTTATTTCCAATGAAACAAATTTTAATTACACCCTAAGATATTCTTTTCAGTGGTGACTTTTTTTCAGAGATGACTCTATTACAAGTCAATTAATAAACACGTTGCTCAGTTAGTGGCAGAAAAGTAACTAACTGTGTGTTGGTTGCTGGGAGTTCCCATAGTTCCAAGTATTTAACAACCCTATGGGCTGACTCAGCAAGGAGCGCTACACAGCATGGCCTGACCTGACCTGGTCCAGACAGACTGGGGCTGACTCAGAGCAAGAAGCACTCCACAGCACTGCCTGACCTGGTCCAGGTGGAATGGGCTGACACAAAGCAAGGTACCCTCCACAGCACTGCCTGACCTGACCTGGTCCAGGCACACTGAGCTGACTCAGAACAAGGAGCACTCCACAGCACTGCCTGACCTGACCTGGTCCAGGCACTGAGCTGACTCAGAGCAAGGAGCACTCTACAGCACTGCCTGACCTGACCTGGTCCAGACAGACTGGGCTCAGAGCAAGGTGCACTCCACAGCACTGCTTGACCTGGTCCAGGTGTACTGGGCTGACTCAGAGCAAGGAGCACTCCAGAGCACTGCCTGACCTGACCTGGTCCAGACAGACTGGGCTGACTCAGAGCAAGGAGCACTCCAGAGCACTGCCTGACCTGACCTGGTCCAGACAGACTGGGCTGACTCAGAACAAGGAGCACTCCACAGCACTGCCTGACCTGGTCCAGGTGGACTGGGCTGACTCAGAGCAAGGAGCACTCCACAGCACTGCCTGACCTGACCTGGTCCAGGAAGACTGGGCACAGGTTCACCCAGCCACCATGCTGGTGCTCACACTGTAAACACAAGAGAGGGATTTTCTGTCCTCACTACGTGGAAAGGCACTAGGAATTATCAAAGCCTCAGTGATTCTGGAAATAATTCCTTTCTTATTGTGGTTTCTGAATCAGCTTATGAATGCTACTCACAGAGATGTCCCAATCTGGTGAGGAGTCTCAGGGTCCACGTTCACGACGCTGGGTACCCCAGATGGCAGCAGAACACACACCCACCAACAACAGACTAGAGAGGCTGTCATTGCGTTGACAGGACGGGCACCCCAAAGAAAGAACGGTGCTGGTACCTCAAAAAGACATGTGGAGATAACCCAAGCCACTGCCCGATCTGAAGCTCCTGGGTCCAGGAAACCAGGCTCGGTCTTCACCAAAGTTCCCAGGAGCTCTGACATGGGCTCTCGCCCAGTACCCAACAATGAACCAGCAGCGTGTGGACAGCGACCTCCGGCGGAGAACCATGCCCTCAGGCCAGTTCCGTCCTGACCAGAGAGGACACATTACCGCCCCCCCTTCCGTCCCCCCCAGTCTTCTCCCCTCCCGTCCCCGCCCCTCCCCGCCCCCCCGTCCCACTCTCCGTCCCCCCTCCTCCCGTCCCGCTCCCCGCTCCCCCCCCCCGCCCCCGTCCAGCTTCCCGTTACTCACAGGCCGGCAGCGCCGGGGGGCAGCGCGCCCGCCAGCGCACCCCAGCCGGCCGCGGGCGGCCTCCGGCGGCTGCAGTCCAGCAGCGGCGGGCGGCAGGCGCAGGGCGCGGGGCAGGGCCCAGCGCGGGCGGCGGGCAGCAGGAGCAGCGCCTGGGCGAGGAGCAGGAGCCGCGAGGGGAGCGTCTCCGCACCGACGCCCGGGGGCCCCGGCGCCATCTTCCCCACACGGAGTGCCGCCGGGCGGCGCTGCCTTCCCCCGGGCAGCTCCGCCGGAAGCCAGGCGGCCGCTGACCCTAAGGCCCAGACGCTCGGGTGGAAGGCGGGAGGCGGGCGAGGCGCGGCGGCGAGTGAAGGGGGGGCCACCGGGACTCACTCAGGCCCCACGGACGCCGCGCGCGCGCCCCGCCCCGCGACGCAGCGCCCTCACGCAGAGCGCCAGCCAATCAGCGCCCCTGACGAGATTGCGCGAGGAACGCTGCGGGGGCGGGGCGGAGGCTGAGGCGGGGCGGCATCGGGTCCCGCCCTCGAAGGGGGGGGGAAAGCCAGGGCCAAACTCCTCTGCTTGACTCTGGAGCCCGGGACTTGGCGCTAGGCGGGGCCGTGCGGCGCTGCCGCCGCCGGGGGGCGCCGTGGCCTCTCGGGAGGAAAACCAGCGAGGCGGGCGGCGCTTGGCGGGCTGCGGGCCTTGAGCTGCGGGCCGCACTGTGTCCCCTGGGCGCCTCGAGGAAGGGGCTTGGCGGCGGCGCCTTCCGAGCTTCCAGCCCGCAGCTGCTCTCGGCCACAGTTTGCAGGGCCCCCGGGGAGGACGGGGACTGCGGAACCATAGGGCAGATGCCTCTTCCCTCCGGCTGCGGGCAGCACCGAGCGCCCAGCACCCGCCTTTTGTGGAAGGAGAGAGTTCAAATTTGCCTCCCCGCCCTGCCGGGGGCGTTGCTTCCCTGCGCACGTCAGATCCTCCTCACGCCTCACGCCCAAGATGTGTGAGCTGCCTCACACCTCACCTCAACTCACACCTCACCTCGACTCATACCTTGACTCATACCTCACACCTCAACTCACACCTCATTTCGCACCTCAGCTCACCTGACAGCTCACACCTCATGACTCACACCTCACACCTTGACTCACACCTCAACTCACACCTCATGACTCACACCTGATATTTTATACCTCAACGCACACCTCACACCTCACCTTACACGTCATGGCGGAGCCATGTGGACCCGCCTCACACCTCAACTTACACCTCATACCTCGCCTCATCCTGGAGCAGCACGGAAGACCTAAAGCCGCAGCAGCGGCTCACTCTCCTGCAGTACACTACGACTTCTCATAGAGCACCTGTGTATTGTGCAGGGGGGTGTTCGACTCCAGCCCCGCCCGGGCAGCGGGGAGGCCGGGGCAGCAGGGAGGCCCAGGTGGGAGGCTGGGGCAGCGGGGAGGCCCAGGCGGGAGGCCGAGGCAGTGGGAAGGCCCAGGTGGGAGGCTGGGGCAGCAGGGAGGCCCAGGCGGGAGGCCCAGGCCGCCCGGGTCACGAGCAGGACTGTAACAGGAAGAGAACAGCCTGTGCTAGGTCCTGGCTCCGAGGACCGTGGCCGGCGGGGAGCCCGAGAGTCTCACTTAAACTTTAAGAGGACTTCCAACTCACACTGTACTCCGAAGAAAACCCCCGTGTGCAAAGCGAGCATGCAGGAAGAGCATGGCGAGTTCCCGGTCCCAGCCTCTGCGTCCCAAGAACCGAGCTCTGCTCCTTAGAACACTGTACGTGACAACACCCCAATCTCCATTAAACCAGAGGTATGTGTAGCCATGACTCAGAGAGGGAGAACCATGGGAAAGTGCTGATCCAACCCTGCCCAGCACCACACAGTGCCACAGTGTGAACACACAGCCAGGCCCAAGGGGCTGATGCCTGGACCCCCAGCTACTCAAGAGGCTGAGATGTGAATGAAGAGGTTTTAAGCCAACCAGAGCAGGAGACAGTCTGAGACTCTTATCTCCAATTAACCACCAAAAGGCTGAGTGGAGGAGTGCCTCAGACTGTACAACACCATCCTTGAGAACAAAAATCTCAGGTATAGCACCCATGCCCTGAGTTCAAGTCCCATACCCAGCATAAGAAAAATAAGAAACCTAAACTCTGTAGTTTGTAGTTTCTCAGAAGAAATGTAAAGTCTGTAGTTTGGATCTGGAATGTCCTCAGTGCTCACTCAGTCACCAGCTGTCAGCACTATTGGTAGATGGGGCTTGGGCTCTACAAATCACTGGGGCAAGGAGAGGAGCAAGTGTGTGCCCCCAAGCACTCCTGCTGTGGAGTGCTACCACAGACCCAACACAGGGGTACTATCCCACCATAGACTGAAAGGTAAAACTCTAAGACAAGAAACTATTTCTCTTCATAAGTTATCTCAAAGCTAACACTCTGAGCTTCGATGTTTGCTTGATAAAATCTTAATATACTAAAATAAAAAATACATCAATACCATAAAGTGCCAAAACAATCCTGGGAAAGAAGGAAGGTGGAAGGAAGGAGGGAGGAAGGGAGGGAATCCGAAGCAGCCTAATGTTCATCAAGAGAAGCACCAAACATAAATCTCAATGTTTAATGGAAAAGGGAAACTGCCAAAAATAGGTACATTGTGTCCAAAGTACACAAAGTTCAAAGTTTGCAAAAACAAATACTAGGCAGTGAAAACATGCGCAGAATTGTCAACATCAAGTTCAAAACTACTGTGGCCTTTGTGGAGAGAGAGGGGAAATGAGATTGAGATGCGGAAGAAAAGAAAGGGGGAGAGAGAAAAGGAATGTGCTGTAGGTTGTCTCAATAAGGAAAGAAATCAATATTGGCAGATAGGCCTCCGAGAAGAACAAAACTTCATGATAAGGCCAGGTCCAAGGGTCTCACACTCCTATCTCTCACTATTCAGGAGGCTGAGATCTGAGGATCGAGATTTGAAGCCATCCCAAGCAGGAAAGTCTATGAGACTTATCTCCAATGAGCTGTCAAAAATCTAGTAGTGGAGCTGTGGCTAAGGTGGTAGAGTGTCAGCCTTGAGCAAAAATGTCAAGCAAGTATAGGAGGCCCTAGGGAATTAGCCCAAGTGCGCAACACACACATACACACACACACACACACACACACACACACACACACACACACACACACACACAGAACCCCAACAGCAATGAAACAACTTGGCCTTCTTCTTTCACGTTCTCTTTGGGGCTGCTGCCAGCACAGAAGCTCATAATTCTAGGTAGTTGGCAGGAAGCAGATAGGAGTCAGGTGTCAGCAGACAAAAAGGAAAGGCCTCACTCTTGCTGATGCATGGCTCTCTTGTTCCCCCTCTCTGGGATGGGAGGGAAGGCCCTCAGACCTGTGATGGCTTTCTAGGCTCTTGGGAACCTCCGAGTTCATTTTTTCTCAGCAATCAGCAGGAGCACTCGTGCGTTTCTGGGCTCTGTGACCTCGCCTTGCTCGCCAGCCTTCAAGGACAGGAATGCACCCACAAACACTTTGGCTGACTGAAAGCCCAGGGAACTAGCTTGTATACGTGCATGCGTGCCTGCCTGCATGCTCTCAAGGGAGCTGAAGGCTCGACCTGAACATGGAACCAGGCCAGAGCCTAAGGCTGGCCGTTATCTCTGATCCTGAGCCATCCTGTCCCTGAGCAGGACCCTGGTGTCCTGCCAAATGGACAGGCTCTTGCTTAGTCTAATGAAGCTCTTGCTGACCATCCTGATGAGGTCCCAGGAGACCTGAGCCAGGAGGTTTCTGCTGCCAGCCCTGGTCCCTGTGTCCCCACCCTGGCAGATAGGGTAGCCCCTCCCCATTGCGTCCCCAGCACCAGGTCTATGCACAGGGACTGAACCACAATGACAGCAACAGCTTATTAATTGGACTAATGAGAGGCCTGGGCCGGGAAAGACTCCAGAAGAGTGAGAAGGAGGTGGATGAGGGCAGGAGCATTCGTGCCACAGGAAGAGATGCAGACGCCTGGGTTGGGAGCCCCGTTCTCCCTCGGAATGCTCGGGGAGGGACTGAAGATGGTTGTTACAACTCACATGCCTTATAAGCGAACAGGTAGAGTAGTGTAGAATTCATCATCTTCCTGCCTCAGCCTCCAAGTGGTGAATTATAAGTGTGCACCACCACAACCAGGTTAGTATTTTTTTTGTATTCCTGGACTTGAACCAAGGGCCTTAGGCATGTGATAGACAAGTGCCTTACCATCAATCTACTCCCAGTCCTAGAAGTCCAGGCTCTCAGTCACCACCATTTGGAGAGTGACAGGACATGAGGATCAATACATAAGTAGCAGTCCCTGGGCATTCCTTGATGTGAGACAGAGCACTAACATCTTCAAGGTGCCAGGCACTGGCGGCTTACACCTGTAATCCTAGCTACTCAGGAGGCTGAGATCTAAGGATTACAGTTTAAAGCCAGCCAGGGCAGGAAAGTCTGTGAGACTCTTATCTACAATTAATAAGCAAAAAGCTGTAAGTGAAGGTGGCTCAAATGATAGAGTCTTGAACAAAAAGGCCAGGTAAGAGCACAAGTCCCTGAGTTCTAGTCCCAATACCAGCACCAAACAACAATGTCATATTCAACCCTATGATGCAGCTATGCTTGTTTCCATGTTTTATAAATAGGGAAAGCTAGACTCAGAGAAGTGAAGCCATAGGCTAACGCCACATAACTAGGAAGTGTCAGAGACGAGAGACTGGTTCCCCTGCCCCCTTCTCCAGGCTTATCAGGATCTGCCTTTGCCATGGGCAGGCATCTTGCATGAAAGAAATGAGACGTTCTGGTTTTCCACAGAGGAAGCGCCAAGGTGATAGAGGGGGCTAGGGCCAACTTGACATAGCCAGTGGAGCAAAAGTTCTAAACACTTTTGGGGTCAGGTTGCAGGAGGCAGCTGCACCTGCAGGGTCCCTTCGCAGTGCCCCAGGTCCAGCTCCTGCGAGATCCAGAAGGCCTGAGGAGTGATGCGGCATGGTATTTTCCTCAACATTATTTTCCCACTTTGCTTGTCATGGGTCTTGTACTCCTGGCCGTGATGATTTCCCTTAGCTTTTTCACTCAAGATTGATGCTCTATCACTTGAGCCACAGCTCCATTTTGGATTTCTGACTAATTGTAGATAAGAGTCTTAAGGACTCTTCTGATTAGGCTAGCTTCAACCTGTGACCCTCCAG